CGCCCGAAGGAGGAAGACCGAAGAGGCCCGACAAACTGTCACGAAGAGGGCTGCAACGAATGATTTCTCATCTTTTGGATCTTGTCTGGGTCCAAAGAATGGGAAGTCATTGTTACTATTTTGTCACTATGCTCGTTTTAGTAATACATAATATTATTGTTGATACATAATATCATTTACTTGATTACATGCCAGCAGATCCAATCATTAGCATCGCAGTTTTTTAATTGATCATTGATCAATAATAAATTGAATTAGAGTTGCATTATAGTTTACGCATTTCTTTATTAATGTTATGAGAAATTATTTATGGTTTAAATTAATACGTAATAAAATATCGTATTTTTTTAATACGATCTTCAAGTTTTTTGGGTAAGTAGGTTACTTTTAGATTTTTGTTGAATAAAAAATATCTATAAATTAGTTTTTTTTTCTAGACAAATTTAAATCATGTCATTAGCTTCAAAAAGTAAGTTTTATACGTTCGATGTATTTATTCCTTAGATTATTGGATACTAGATGGCGTAACAAACGTTGCTTAAAGTCGGTATGTTAGAACATGCGATATATAACTAATGATACTTAATAAAGTTCTAGTAGATAGTTTAGCGGGCAAAGTCATGTACTATTATATCAATAATGGTTCGAGTAGTTCTCTTTATTTATTAACTTATCGACGTAATATAATGTTTTGAAATTTATTAAATTCATTAAGACATTTATTTATTGCAATATTACAATTGTATTCTTTGTTACCTTAATAACGTGAAAATTTTTATCAAAATGATAAAAAGAGAAATAGAGGAAAAAAATGTATTGAATGGTGTCAGTTCTTTATCTCGTTCGTATTTAATAAATTGACTTTTATTAGAGCCATCTTTCGGAAAGAATTTAGAATACTTAACATTGCAACGTAGGTAAGAAAACAAACACGGTTACTTTTAATTTTTAATTTTATTTCTTTTATTATGAAATATAATGTAAAATATAATAATAAATTATAAAATATGATATGAATATATATCACTTATTGCTTACGATATTTAGTCGATAATATTGAACAATATAAAAATCAATTATTGTCCTTCACCGATGTCTAATAATCTCATCTATTAACAGTAGTCATTTATCAAGAAAATATAATGATTTCCTTAAATAAATAATTATCACAAGTTGTCAAATCGTCTTTAAACAGGTAGCTTGAAAGGTACAATTGATATCAATAAATATTACAAATAAATAATTCCGTTAATAAATAATAAATACTAACGCTAATGCACAATGATCGTAATAAATAAATTCACGAATAAATAAATTAAATAATGCGATGCCATTTGAGTACAGACATTTCGCAACGATCTCTAATTTCTGTTATCACAATTGTATCCATTGATAATGTCCAACCATGCATATATTGTGACACGATTTGGTTTCTCTTCATTGATCGTCACTCGAGAAGTGTCGTACATTCTCGATCAATTTTGTTGCAATCATCGTATTGTTTTTCTCGATACTGTATTGTCACAAATGTAATAACATCGACATTTTTGCGATAGGATTCGAATACCGTATAATATTATCGAACGTTTCTTCTGGCGCTAGTCAATAATCCAAAATGTGCTTCCAGGCATGAAGATAATCTCTGTATTTGAGAAGTATACCCCAGTCACGAACAAGTCTTCTAGTTTCGTCCACGGGCTCTCTTTCCGTGTTGCTCATGATACTCCTTTCCACTCGCGATGGAATCTGAAGATATGGCAGATCCATGATAGTGATTTCTACTTCGCATAGCATAGTCTTTATGGCGATCTGCGTTGCGCGAAGAGCTTTATAAATTTTCGGATTCGTCTCGTCTTCCACCAATTCCTCGAAAGCTATTGCAAACTTCTGAAGATCGATGTGTAACTTTGGAAAGTGATTCACGATCTATAAGAAAAATTATTATTTCACTTTCTGTCAATCTTTCTGTTGAATATCGCGAACTATTATTAAATAATAAATATTCATTGCCATAGTACCGCTCAAAATTATTCGGATTGATCTACATATAGTAAATAATTTTATTAAAAAATTCAAAATAATTTTATTCGACCTGATCGTAGAATTCGATTTTTAAAAAAACAAAATTTGCGATAAAAAATTAAATATATATAATTACAAATTAAAAGCTTACTAAAATCTATAATTACTAAAATCATTCGAAATCGGAATCCTTATCTCGTATTGTAATATTGTAATTATTAATGATACGTTAATTAATTTGAATCACACTTTTCTTCGTGAATTACACAAGATAGATCG